TCCCCCCCCCCCCCCCCCCTTTTCCCATCAAAACCTTGCTTATCCCTGCTTCTGCCAGAGCTAAGCTGAAACTGTGCTTACCTGGCCTCTTACACCTACCCCATGCCAAACCCCTGTGGACTCCCAGGGCTACCACTAGTGCCAGATCCTCCAGCCCCAATCCCTTCTACCTCTTTGCTCGGCTGAGAGGGAGAAAGGAGAAGTTTGAGAAATTTGGGGGTGAAGATTTGGGATCCCACTACCTCTCCATATCAGCTCTGTCCACATTCCTCTCTCTTCTACCTCCCCTCTCTATGGAGGAGGTGGGAAGGGAAGAGAAAAGAGCAGAGCTACACATCATTGCAGTTTCCTGGTGCTTCACTTGGAGACCTCTCAAAAGTTACTTCTGTCCACACCATCAATGTTCCCAGGATCCAGAAGTGGAAACAATGTGCCTCTTCACCCATGTGAGGGTCCTAACTATAGGGGTAACATTACTCCCTGGAATTCTGTGTGCACTGGTTCTCTTTCTAATGCTTGCTTTTATGTTACGACTCAAAGAACATTTACATTCCTTCATGCAAAATGGAGTAGTGTCACCAAGAAAAACTGAGAACAATCCATCCTGAAGTTTCCTAGAACCTGGTAGATCAGGTATTCAAAAAATACAATACTTAAGTTCAAATCCCATTGGGAGGGAAGGAGGACTTTAATTATGTTCTTGTACATCCCAAATTAATTCTAAAACTGCCGATTAATGTGTTACCTACTATTCGGTAAAAACAGGAACACCCCCTCCTCTTCTGTGTCATTGCTAGTTATAAGAATGATGTTTCACACTAATCTTTATTTCCAATGCTTGCTTAAAAAAATCTACAATGGAAACCAAACATGTGATATCAAGTAGAACTAAATAGTTCATTCATCCTGTAGCAAAACCTGCAGTTTTTCTTTTTTTTTCTTTTAAAATGCATTCCCTCCCCTTCCCCAACCATTTCTGACTTTTTCTCTCCCTCTCTATTCCCTATAGATAAGTATAAGTGAGCTAAGACATAGGATAAGCTTCAGCATTTTATTTTGGTAGCAAGTTGTATTTGTTTTGTTTTTTCTCCTTCTTTATATTGTATGATTATTATGTTTATATTGATTT